CTGCTTCCTGCCCTGTGTGAGTTCCTGTCCTGACTTCCATTGGTGATGAACAGCAGAAGTGTAAGCTGAATAAACCCTTTCCTCTTTTTTCCCACCTCTACCTACAGTTTGGCATCACGTTTTCCCTCAGTTAAACCTCTCTGAAAGAGACTTTCATAGGCATGCCTAGAGGTGTGTCTCCTAGGTGATTCCAGAACCAATTGATTTGACAGTGAAGGTTAAGGTATTTGCCAAGTTTTGTGGGACAATTATAGTTCATACAGTAAAGTGAGCAATATTTGCCTTGCTTCCGGTATGTACTGAAGAAATAGTACAAGTGCGGTGACATTAACTTTACAAATGTCTGGAGCCTTTTTTCTCTTTGTACACACACTGTGTTTTCCTGCATGCTTTATTTAACATTTCACCTGTCCTTTTGCTAGGGTCTGAGTATGAAATGTCTCCCACTGCTTCATGTACTGAGGACTTTGGTTGTCAACTTATGGGTTTTGGGACTTGTTTGGATCCTGACTGCTCTGATCAATGGATTATTCCCTTGATGAATTCATCATATGATTGCATTATTGAGAAGTGTAAACACTAGGAGGTGGGACCTCATTGGAGGACGTAAGTCACTGAGGAGATGACCCTAGAGCAGTGGTTCTCAACCTTCCTAATTTTGTGACCCTTTAATACAGTTCCTCATGTTGTGGTGACCCCAACCATAAAATATTTTGTTGCTATTTCATAACTGTAACTTTGCCACTGTTATGAATCATAATATAAATATTTTTGGAGATAGAGGTTTGCTAAAGGAGTTGCAACCCACCGGTTGAGAACTGCTGCCCTAGAGGCTATATCATGCTCGGGTCCTCTCATGTGTTTCCTTTTCTTGTCTTCTCTGCCACATGCTTCTTCTGCTAACAGGATGTTCCACGCAAGCATGTAGAGCTAAGTATACTATCTGAGGCTGTGAGCCAAAAGAAATCCTACCTCCTCTTATAGGTTGTTTTTGTTAGGTTCTCGGGTATAGTAGCACAGAAATGATGAATAGTATTACAAATCTTTTTGATCTTTAGGCCTGTGTCCTGTATTTTTGCTTATTTTCAAGACCATCACAGAATATTAAAAGCACATACTTACCTCAGAGGCTGGATTCTTCCTTGACTCTGCATTCCCAATTCTTCCATTCACAGCTAGTACATATGAACATTTGATCGCATTTTATGATTTTCTTGAGCCCTTATATGTAAAATAAAAGCACAGAAGAGAGACTTTAGTTAGGAATGTATAGGAAACATCACTGTGACAAATGACTGCTTTCAAAGGATAGAAAATGACTTGGGAGATTCTAAGTTGCTTGCATAAATATGTTGACTAACTTTTATGAAGAAGGCAAATAGATTAAGTCCTTCAGAGGTCAGGATACCACAGGAGTAAAAAATAAATCTGTCTATCTGTGTACACTCATGCATGTGGGTTTCCCCAAAACATACTGAGCCTGTGGCCAGCAAGTCTTTGAGTGCGCCAGAAGAACAAAACAAGTTGCCCCCAAACAAAAACCCAGACAAGTCATCAGCTTAGTTGAAGATGCCGTGTGGCATTTTGACTCAGCCATGATTCAGTTCAATTGTTTGAGAGAACATCAAGTTTCTCTATAAAAAGAATTGTGTGATGGCAGTCTCTTTTATTTTTACCTATGCCATGAGCTGGAATACCACATGGAGCTATTTGGTAAGGTGGTCTGACTCAACTTTAAAATCCAGAAGTGCTCAACAGGAGGCCACCTCTCACACAGTTATCTTAAGTGGATGAAGTAGTCAGGAAAGAATGTGAGCAAACAAATAAGGCTGTGTTTGTGACCGCCAGAACCCTGAGGAGGCCTTCCATTCTTCCGGTGTTTTGTAGTGGTCACTGGACTCCCGGGTGTGGTCAGTGATCTGTGAGTAAGGATACTGAAAGGCAAAGGGCCCCTGGGGTTTTTGTTGAGCCAGCTGAGTCAGGCTCTCTGATGGCCATAGATTAGAGAAGCGGTAGCTGTGAGTGAGTGAGTGGTCCTTCCTTATATTCCTTGTTATTGCCACCGATGAGTTTATGTGGACAATACCTAGAATAGTGGCTAGCACGCCGTAAGTGCTATTTAAATGTTAGCTACTGTCTTTGTCTTGGTCACCATGTTATGATCATGTCACCATAGAGAATAGAAACTATATCAAAAGATATAAAAGAAGACTTTCTTGATGAAATATATCAGTATTTTATTGAAACTTTAACAACAGAGACATTTTCCCCAGGTTGACCTGTGGATTCAGTGCCACTCAAAATAACATTTCAGTAACGTTTTCTTAGAAATGCTACTTCTGAGGACAAGCCTTTCCCAGAGGCTCACAGTGGTGGGAGGTGTTTTCTGTTTTCTCTGCATATTGTAGCTCTACATGGGCTAAGTACTCCCCTTGATTGTCATATGGTGTCAGACTTCTCTCCACTATACACACCCTGACTCTTGTTTTGTTTTTGTAATATTTTTATTTCTAGCTATATTTATCTGTCTCTGTGGATACTTGTATGTGTAGTATCCATGGAGGCCAGAAGAAGAGCTGGGGTTACATGTAGTTGTGAGCTGCCTATAATGCCAAACTCCATCCCCTGTAAGATCAACCCACGTCTTGCTTGTTGAGCCACGTCTCCAGCCCTTTTGTTTGCTTGTTTGAGATGAGATCTTGCTTCGTGGCTCCTGTTGTCCTTTAACTCCACCCCCTTGCCTCAGCTGCTCTGTCCTGAGATTACAGACTTGCACCACCTGGCCTGGTTGCCTCCAGCTTTTTGTCCACTATCTGTTAAATTAACGTTACAGTTTAAATACCTGTGGGCCACTGCATCTTATTCTTTAACATTTAGCTTTAGCTTGCTATTAAGTATGTATTGCTTTAATTGTCTTAAATCTTGGTCATTTCAGTGTTTGTGCAGATAATCCTTTCATTGGCCATCCGTAGTTCCTGGACTGTCAGAGAGCTTGACTTTCACATTACCATGTTACACCTTACCTGGGCCTTATTTTTAATCTGTTTTCTTCCCGATCAGTTTGAGTAGTCCCTGGCTCCCTGGTGATCCTTTCCTCTACATGTCTTTAGCATAAACCTGTCCTGTTGATTCTGTTTTCTATCCCTAAAGCTTTGTTTTTCATTTCCTTTCTAATTTCACATTTCTCTTTTTAGGGAACCACACATCCATCTCCAATTAAATTCCACTTGTTTGTACTGTCACCCAAATAACTGAATGAGGCTAGAGAAAAACAGTCCTGCTTAGCTTACTGTGCTCTTTAAATTGATGATTGCTATGTAGCCTGCTGATTGGCCTTTGATTTTTGACAAGTCATAGTTGTATGCATTTATGGGGTAAACTGTCATGGTTTGGTATTTATGTAATGTGAAATGACTAAATAAAAGTTTATTGATGTAAACATCAACTCTCAGACCTAACTTTTTTTTTTTTAAAATAAAACTGTTAGGTATGGCAAATATAACTTGCATATTGAATAATTATAATAGAATAATTTGATATAGTTTTAAACAAGAATGAAAATCTCATATTACAAACCCCCTCCCCTTGGAACTCATGAGTCTCCCTGGGAAGGGGAAATAGAATAGATATTGTGGGTAGACTTCAGGGTGTGTGGAGACAGGAACAGGGAGGGATCATGTGAGAGGAGGATAGAGGTTTATTTTAGGGGTAAGGTAGAAACCTAGGGCAGTGGAAACTCCTAGGAATCTATGAGGGAGGCCCCAGCTAAGACTAAGGGGGATATGAAGCCTACACTGGCCATCTCCAGTAACCAGGCAAGACTTCCAATGGAAGAATTGGGACACAAACCTAGCCACAAAACTTTTGAACTACAATTTGTTCAGCCTGAAAGATGTGCTGGGGTAAAGGTGGCACAGGAATTGTGGGAGTGGCCAACCAATGACTGGTCCAGCTTGAGACTCATGCCACACCACGAGTAGGAGCCCATCCCAGACTCTGCCTAGAGTGCCTTGAGGGCCTCAGTGAATCCCGTGGAAGACAGGGAGGAAGGATTGTAGGAGGTGGGTCATGGACACCACAAGAAAAACTGTAGAATCTACTAAACTGGGATCATAGGGGCTCACAGAGACTGAACTGGCAGTCAGGGAGCCTGCATGGGTCTGACCTAAGTCCTTTGCATATATGTTGTGGTTGTGTAGTTTGGCCCTCTTGCAGGACTCCTAACAGTGGGAGTGTGGCTGTCTCTGAAGCTTTTGCCTGCTTTTGGGACCCTTTTTCTCCTACTGAGTGCCTCATCTAGCCTTAATATGAGAGTTTGTGTCTAGTCTTACTGCAGCTTGACAAGTCATGTTTGGTTATTATCTGTGGGAAGGAAAATGGGGGAGGAGTGGATGGGGCAGGGGACACTGACACACAGACTGGGAAGGGGGGGGAACTTAGGTCTGTATGGATGTAGTATATAAGAGAATAAATAAAAAAATTTAAAAAATAAACCCAAGGAAGGCATTGGAAAAAAGGAAAAAAAAACTCACAGTAAAACCCTTCCTCCTCATAATAATTTAAAAAAAAAATCACATTTGTTTTCTAGCTGGGCATTAGTGGCTCATACCTTTGATCCTAGCACTTGGGAGGCAGAGACAGGTGGATCTCTGAGTTCAAGGCCAGCCTGGTCTACAGATCAAGTTCCAGGACAGCCAGGGCTACACAGAGAAACCCTATCTAAAAAAAAACCCACAATAAATAAATAAATAAAATCACCTTTTCTGAATGGGTCATTTCAAGAATTTTTAAAATTTTATTTTTATGTGCACTGGTGCTTTGCCTCCATGCATGTCTGTGTGAGGGTGTCAGATCCCCTGGAACAGGAGTTACAGACCATTGTGAGCTGCCATGTGAATGCTGGGAATTGAACTTGGGACCTCTGGAAGAGGAGCCAGTCGTGATCTTAACCGCTGAGCCATCTCTTTAGTCCCTAGTTCAAGAATTTTAATGCCTCCTGAAGGGGATACCCTATTTTCAGAGGTAGTGCAGTGCCTCTTCGAGGCCAGTGTGTGCAGTGCATGGAGAAAGTATCTGTTCATCTCTCTGTTCCAAACATCTATTTAATATATTGTCCTCAGTTAAAGGACACATTAGTTATTAAACTAATGCAGACACTATGCTGGACCTTAGCCAAAAGGCCAAGAAACAATAATTTTATTTTTCTTTATAGCTGGATAGTGTTATACATATGCTGATGGGTTTGGTATTATGAATATGTAAGTACCTCTGGTGGGGTATGGGGTTTTTTATTCCAGTGTATGTTCAGGAATGGTGCAACTGGCAAATATGTTAGTGCTGTCTTTAACTTTTTTTTTTTTTTAACTTTTTTTGATTCCTTTTTTGAGTTTCACATCATGCACTCCAGTCCCTCTCATCTCCCCTTCCTCTCATATCTTCCCTTTGCCCTTGTACACACACACACACACACACACACACACACACAGCTTAGAAAACATCTCATTGTGGAAGCTGTAGCATGTCACAATGTGTCTCACAGTACATCCCTCTGTCCACACATCTTCACTTACAGACGTTCACTGCAGTGAGTCACTGGTCTGGTTCAGGATTACCTGGCATCTGTGACACCATCAATATTGGATCCTCATTGGGGCTTGTCCTGGTTATCCTGTTGTTGCCCTGTGTCATGGAGATCCTGCAGCTTTGAATCAGGAGGACTGGTGGCCCTTTCATGCATCCCAACCATTTGTTGGTGATACAGATTTTGGAGTGGGCCAACTTGGAGCCTACTCCAAGCCCTACTCCCCCTTATCCGCTCCACCAGAGTGAGCTCTCTGGCACTGCTCCAGCTAGGCCACCCAATGCCACCATTGGCAGAAGGCAGGGCCAGATTTTCTGCTCTCACACCCTTGGGTCTGTCTCACTGTGCCTTCATCAATCAGGGCCAGCTCCACTTTGTTGCCCAGGTGAGGTGCAGGGCCTGCTCTCCCAAGTGCTATAGTCTGTGAAAAATAGGGCTAACTTTCCAGAATACTGTAGCCAGTGTGGGGCAGGGCCAGTTCTGCACAGCCCCTTAGATGGTCCCTGGTGACTGTCCTGACCAGGGTCATCCCCATGTCCTCTAGTGGTAATATGAGCCACAGACGTCAGCACCAACCCCTGCCACTACCGAGTAGTCACAGACTCAGATATGTCCCTCAGTGGGCACTTAGCTGAGACCTCACCATGGCTCCAGGTGGCGTGGTTGGCTGCTTACAATGGGCTCCTCCTCCACACTACTCTCCAGTTCATCTCTCTTCATAATGCGTAAGCTACTCCATTTCTCTTACTCTCCCATCTTGCCACCACATACTCGCACACTGTGTTGGCTCCTGCTGCAGGCTGGCCACGTGGCTGATGGACCTGTGGATGACAACCTCTGTCCACATGGCGGCAAGTGAGTGTCTACAGCCAGCCTGTGCCCTGTGCCAAGCACAGATCTGTGGGTGGCATGGCAGTCGGCAAGTCTTTGTTTTCCTCCTCCCAAGCTGCACTGCCTGGGTTTTATTTTTAATGTGTCCTAAGTGTAAAACAGGTTTGGCCACCAAGCCAGGCATCAAGCTCGGATGAACAAGGGACTGCCATCTGCTCTGCCCTTGACACTACCACTGAATAGGTGTCTCTGGGGGTAGGATGGTGGGAGGTGCTATCCTTAACTTTTTGAGGAATATCCAAACTTATTTTCATAGTGGCTGTATTCATTTTGAGCTCCCACAAGCAGTGAATAAGGGGTCTTTACCCCCTCCTCTCCAACATTTGTTGATAGTTTTCTTGATAATAGCCATTCTGATGGAGTGAAACATCTCAAAGTACTTTTAATTTTTATTTCCCTGTAAGAAGAGATCCCTTATAAGTTGGGATGTTGAACCTCTTAGCTATTGACCATTTATATGTTTCTTTTGAGAAGTGCCTATTCATTTTCTTTTTTTTTTTTTTTTTTTTTTTTTAGTTATTTGCTGATTGGCAGTTTTGGTTTTTTTGGAGTTTAATTTTTGCTGTTTGTAATACTTCTGATTGATTCTCAGCCTTTTGGCTAAGATCAAGTGTTAATACGTCTAAAGCATAGCTGGTGAAGATGTTCTCCCATTATGTGAGCTGTTCTGTTTGCTCTGCTGATAGTTTGTTTTTTTCTTTTTTGTGTAGAAACTTTAACTTCATGAAATTCCATTTGTGGATTCTTGGGGCTAGTTACTGTGCTATGTTGGGGAGGGGTTGTTTTCTAGAAAATTCTTGCTGAGAATTTATCCTCTTTTCCTTAGTCTCAGTGTTTTGGGTTTTAGTTAAGGTTTTTGATCTACTTCGGGTTGGTGGACATCCCATTTTGTCAGTTCTGTTTGTTGAGTAGCTATCTTCTCCTCTGTATGCTTTTGCCATCTTTCTTAAAAATAAAGTGGCTATTGTTTTTTGTCTGTTTACTTCCAGGCCCCTTGTTCTGTCACTATAGCTCCGTAGCGTAATTTGAGGTCAAGATTATACTCCAGCTGTCTTTCTTAGAGTTGTTTTGGGTATTTGTTGTCTTTTGTGGTTCCATATAGATTGATGGGTTGGCTTTTTTTTCCCCAGATCTGTGAAGTATGACATTGGGATCTTGATGGGTATTGCATCGACTATATAGATTGATTTTGGTAGTATATTAATTTTCCTCATATTAATTCTGCTTATCCAGAAACATGGGAGGTCTTTTCATAGTCTGAGTATCTTTGTTTGCTTTTTTAATACCTTGAAGTTTTCATTGTAGAGGTCTTTCACTCTGGTTAGGTTTAACCAAACTGACCCTAGGTTGTCTCTCTTTATTAATTATTACTTAGTATGCACAAGGCCTTAGATCCCTGGAGAGGGGAAAAATAATCTGATTTCTGCCTATGTAGCTGCCCCTTACATTTGTCTTTAGTTTCTGTTCCTATGACAGAGCTCTTTTCTCTTTTCTTTTTAAATTTTATTATATATAATAAAATATCTATCTATCTGTGTGTGTGTGTGTGTGTGTGTGTGTGTGTGTTTGACTGCATGTGCCATAGTGGAGTCAATGGACAGCTTACAGGACTTGAGTCTCTCCTTTTACCACATGGGTCCCAGTGATCAATCAGGTCATCAGGCTTGGTGGCAGGCGCCTTACACGCCAAGTCATCTTGTCAGCCATAGTCAGTTCTTTATAGAGGAACCAAAGGAACCCTTTAAATGCTAGTCTGATGCGATCACCCCACTGCCCCAAATCTCTTCAGCCTGTGATGATTTTGCATTACGATTCTCTCTCACCTCTGGTCTGCTGTAGTCCTTTGTTTTTCATGGGACTTCATCCATCCTGGTCCCTGACTTTCTAGGATCTCACTGTGCCTTTGCCTCCTAGCAGATTCTCCAGGAATATGTATAGTTAGTTCCCCCATCACCGTATTTCTGTACTCAAATATTGCCTTTTTAAAGAGAGATTTATTATATGTGTAGTAGTGTTTGCTTCCATATATGTATGTGTTATTACATGTGTGCTTGATGCTGGAGGAGACCAGAAAAAAAGCATTAGATCCCTGGAACTGGAGTTACCAATGGTTGTGAGCTGCCATGTGGGTGCAAAGAACTAACTGAACCTGCGTTTTCTGCAAGAGCAACAAGTGCTCTTAACCACTAAACCATCTCTTCAGCCTCTCAAACATTGCTTTTTAACTATGTTTTTTTAAAAAATAAAATTCTAAGTAATGTTTGACATAAATTGTTTTTTTTAAGGTTTATTTTATGTGTGAGTGTTTTTTTGCCTTTATGTCTTTTATGTGCCCCGTGTGTGTGTGTGTGCGTGTGTGGCAGATGCCAATGGAAGTAGAGAAAGTATCAGATCTCCTGGAGCTGGAGTTTTGGATAGCTGTGAGCCACCATGTGGATGCTGGGCAGCTGGTGCTCACTGCTGAGTGTTTCTCCAGACCCTTACATGTATTTTTTTCCTACATAAGAATGTGAAAAATTTCCCAAAGTTTGCTGGGTTTAGCCTTTTTGTTCTAAGTCTACCTGAAGCTGCTTTTTATGCATGCCTTGTGGGTCACAGTTGTCACAGAAAGTCCTCCCCTAACTGTGGAGTAGGTCAGCCCTCTCCTTTACATCTTTAGTGATGGCACTGCCCTTTGCCAAAGTGTCTGTTAGCACATTGCCTTCCTGGGTTCTAGTGTCTGCTCTGGAGTTTGCTTTCCATCTTCCTACTGCTCTGCCCATCTTCTTTCGTTTACATGATGCAGTTGAGCTGCTTTCACTCTAATGAGAAATTACCTGAGATGAGGATAGTGAGAAAGGGGAAACCATGATTGGGAGATTGGGAGAGAGAGGACTTTGGTATGTTAGGAATCTTAGTAAGATAGGAGTTGCCAGACCTGGCCCACCACCTGTTTTATTATGGCCCATGAGTGAAGGGTGGTTTTTACATTCAAATAGCTAACACCTGAAAGTTAGATGAACTTTAAATGGTGATATTTACAATAGACTATTCTTTTACAAGGTCTTGCTGTGGAGGCCGGGATGGCCTTGGAGCTTGTTATCCTCTTTGCTCTGCTTCCCAGGCGCTGGGGTTACAGCATAGGAAGAAGCCACATGCATGCTTGGCCAGAATAGAAGGGTTTTGTGTGTTTTGTTTGTTTTTGGTTCTGCTTTAGGTTTTCGAGTCAAGATTTCTCTGTGTAACCCTAGCTGTCCTGGAACTCATTTTGTAGACCAGACTGACCTTGAATTTAGAGATCCACTTGCTTCTCTTGAGTGCTGGGATTAAAGGCTTGTGACACTATCACCTCCCTCACTCCCTCATTTAAGATTTATTTCATTTTAAATTAGGATTATAGATGTGTGTCTGTGTGTGTCTGTGTGTATGTGCGTCTGTTTATGAGTGCTACTGCCTTCAGAAGCAGAATGGTGTTGGATCCCCTAAATCTGAAGCTACAAGTGGTTGTAAACAGCCTGGTGTGCGTGTCAGGAATGAACTCCAGTCTTTTTCGAGAACAATTAGTCATTTTAAGCCAGTGAGCTACCTCTCCAGCCTTACTTAGCACAGTAGAGTTGTATTTGAATCCTGCCATGTTTATAAGTGTCATCTAAGCCTACTTTTCTGTTACAGGGCAGAGTTGAGACGTTGTTTGGGGGAGTTTCTGGCTGTCAGACCCTAAATATTTGCTGAGCTGCTCTT